AAAAAAAAAAAAAAAGGATTAGAAAGCAAACCTACCCAAACCAATCAACCAGAAAAAAAAATTAAAGACGGAGAAACTTGAACACTAATTGTAAAATTGGTAATAAGGAATTACTGCTAAATTTTTAGGGGTAATAATAGTGCTTTGCTTCCATTTTTTAAAAAGTCCTTATCTTCTAGGGGCACCTGAGTGTCTCAGTTGGTTAAGCATCCGACTCTTAAATTTTTTTTTTTTTTAACGTTTTATTTATTTTTGAGACAGAGAGAGACAGAGCATGAACGGGGCAGGGGCAGAGAGAGAGGGAGACACAGAATCAGAAGCAGGCTCCAGGCTCTGAGCTGTCAGCCCAGAGCCCGACGCGGGGCTCGAACTCACGGACCGCGAGATCGTGACCTGAGCTGAAGTCGGACGCTTAACCGACTGAGCCACCCAGGCGCCCCAAGCATCCGACTCTTGATTTCGGCTCAGATCATGATTCTCACAGTTCATGAGTTTGAGCCCCACATCAGGCTCCTCACTAACAGCATGGAGCTCACTTGAGAGTCTCTCACTCTCCCTTTCTCTCTAAATAAATAAAAAAAACTTATTTTAAAAACCCTTATCTCTGGGGCGCCTGGGTGGCGCAGTCGGTTAAATGTACTTCGGCTCAGGTCATCATCTCGCAGGCCATGGGTTCGAGCCTCGCGTCAGGCTCTGTGCTGACAGCTCAGAGCCTGGAGCCTGCTTCAGATTCTGTGTCTTGCTCTCTCTCTGCCCCTCCCCCGCTTGTGCTCTAGGAATGAATGAATGAATGAATGAATGGTTACAAAAAAATTTTTTTTAATAAAAAACAAAAAATAAAAATCCTTATCTTCTAAAAATATATGGGAAAACAATTATAGATAAAATATAGCTGTCACCTGCTTAAAATAATGAGTGGGGGAAGGGAGGGTATGTAGAGAAAACAAGTGTGGAGCTATGACTGTAACTGCTGAAGTCTTTCAAGTGTGGGGTGCTCTCCTAATTATTTTAAACCACAAGTACTGTTTGAGAAAAATGCAATAGCCTGGAACAACCTCAGTCAGTGGTAGTTTTCGATGCTTAAAGAGATCCCCTGGTAGAACTGGTTAAGTGTCAAAAAACTGCAGAAGGCCCAGATTTTTTTTTTTTTTTAAGTTTATTTATCTTGAAAGAGCATGCATGTGTGCACAATCAGGGAAGGAGCAGAGAAAGAGGGAGAGAGAGAGAATCCCAAGCTGACAGCCTGTAGCCTGACATGGGGCTAGATCTCACCAACCGTGAGATCATGACCTGAGCTGAAATCAGGACGCTCAACCAACTGAGCCACACAGGCACTGCTCCAAATTCGATGATTTAATAGTTAGGTTCTATCTGTCTGTCTGTCTGTCTATCTATCTATCTATCAAAAACTGGTTAACAGTTATGTTTAACTGTACCAAAACTTTAAAAAAAAAAAGAAAAGAAAAGAAAAGCAAGCTCAGCAACTCTTGAAATACACGTAGAAAAAAGTACAGTGTCCTCTGGACATACTCAAAAATTTCTTAATGCTCCAGTAATATTCTGAGTAGTTTCTTCCAAAATTTGGCTTTTGACCAGTGACTTTTGCCACTTCAAAATGGCTGGCTGCTTTGAAGTCTGTACTCCCACAGATAACTGTCCTCCCAAGACCACCACTAGTCCGAAGTACTTACCTTCAGTGGCGTTAGCCTTTGAGAAAGAAAGAGAAACAGTTGATGGGCGCACTAGTACATTCTCCCGGCACATCATTCATCTCCCACAGAATCACATTGTAAAACTCTCACCCCTCACCTGTTCCAATATCCAGCATTATTATCAAAATTCTGAGGCACAATATTAGAAAGGTAAAAGGTTTCAGCCATGGCTTGCTGTGAAAAGAAATAAAAATAGTAACCTGCACGGAAATGCCTTCCCCTTTGAGATTTTACAAAGAGACACAAAAAGCAGTTCCTTATACGTTAGCTCTAGGCGATTACAGTGACTACTTGTTTAAATAAATGAGAGCCACAGTTATTTCAGGTCAGAAAGCCCAATACAGATTATTCAAAATAAGGACTGTAACAAAATAAGTAGTTTGGTATGCTAGCTTTCTTTGTAATTCTTACAATTCAAACCTGTTACATAGACTCTAAGAACTAAGTTTCCAATGTAAGCTAAAGGGTAAGTTTTCAGCCTCTGGCAAAGAATTTCTACATAAAGGTCAACTTTCAGAAACTTTATTTAAGTAATACAATACATTTTAGTAAAAAGTGGCAGAGAAGGATTCCTTGCTCTTCTGAATTTCGGGCCACTAGATGTGCATTCATTTCACATTTCTGACCCTAAACACAAAGCTGTCGTCGTATCTCCTTCCACTGATCTATATTACCATCGATTACCTTCTCTGCAAGTAGTGGTTCTCAACCTTGAATGCACACTGGAATAAGCCAGAGAGCTTTAAAAATATTGGTGCCGAGTTCCACCCCCTAGAGTTTCTGACTTAACTGCTCTGGGTCTGGGCATCAGGATTTTTTTTAAAACATCCCTAGGTGATTATGAGTATCTTAAGATTAAAAACGACCACCTTAATGACAATAATCACCAAAGCTGATGCAATACATGTCCATGTCATAAAAGACATTTGTCTCCTTTTTTTGGCAGAGAACTTATTTTACTTAAAGGACACTAGGAAGACATGATAACTAAGTGTGATAGGCGATTCATGACTGAATATGGATCAAAGAAAGTCGTAAAGAATGCAATTGCAACAATTTGGCAAATCTGAGCATGAACTGTAGATTAGAGAATATTATTGTACAAATACTCAAAAATACATGTACACACACTTCTTGGTATGATGATACTCTTGTCATATATACATATATCCTCATTTCTTACATGATACAATCTCCTGAGCAATATCTATTTAGGGATAAAGTGTTATGATGTCTGCAACTTACTGCTGACGGTGAAAAAGAATTGTATATACATATATATGTATGCACACATAAAGAAAACATATCAAAATGTATTGGCTATACTATCTTTTTAATTTTTCTACAGGTAAAAATGTTTTTGCTGTATTCTCAACTTTTCCACAGGTCTGAAATCTTTCAAAATAAAAGTAAATAAATAATAAATAAATAGCTCCTAGTGGCTCTCCAGTTCTTTTACATAGTAATTAGTTTGACTTTTCAACCTATTTAAGAATGTTTTACGGGCGCCTGGGTGGCGCAGTCGGTTGGGCGTCCGACTTCAGCCAGGTCACGATCTCACAGTCCGTGAGTTCGAGCCCCGCGTCAGGCTCTGGGCTGATGGCTCGGAGCCTGGAGCCTGTTTCCGATTCTGTGTCTCCCTCTCTCTCTGCCCCTCCCCCGTTCATGCTCTGTCTCTGTCTGTCCCATAAATAAATAAAAACGTTGAAAAAAAAAAATTAAAAAAAAAAAATAAATTAAAAAAAAAGAATGTTTTACCATCTAAGCAAAAAAACCCGAATTAAAGTCAGGAAGAAAAATGCAAAATAAGAGTACAGAAATTCTCAAATACTAAGGTTTGACTCCTATGTTCTTAAAGTCCAAGTCCATTGGTATATAGACCACCAGCCCTGTATTCCCATCCCTCCCAAAAAAATATGCCTACAGATGAAAATTTGTTATTTCCTGCTGGAGCCATGTGTCCTCGTGACCACCCACTCCCAACATAGTCTTCATTGAAGGCACTGAAGGTTGGAGGGATGTTGGGATCAGGCTTAAATTTACAATGTTTTCTGTCGGCATCACCTACAGAAAAACACACAAAATGGGCAAGTTATCAGTGGATAAATATTCCTCAAGATTCTCTAACCAAGGCAAGCTGTTTGCTGCTGGCTAGTATCTCTCTGAGTAGCTAGTACTTAGTGATTGCGTGCATGTTTCAAGTTCCTGGGATAGTTCAGATACCTCATCTGAATTTAGCAAGGACTAGTCTAGGAAAGAATGCTTTTTGTACAGTGTAGCTACCTCATATTCTTTTGTTTCTAGCCTTTCAAATTAAAGGAGAAAAATCCTCTGGATAGTATTTAAGTAAAAACAACGACCAAATAGCTGAACTATATAAAAAGCTTACTACTAAATAAACTCTTGCTTTTCAAAAGACCCTCACGCATTGTATTTTGTGCAACTGTATTTGATAAGTTTACACGTACTGAAATAATGGATATATATAGACACAAAACAATTTGTCCTGGGCAGGCACAGTCTAGGGGAGGGTGAAAGTGTCTCTGATATCTTGCTTGTCGCTGCTTAAGCCATGACAAAACAAACATTTAGGTTATGAGTTCAACCCAGAAATTTCTGAAACAAAGTATCTGAGTACCACATGGGAGAGAAAAAAAATCTCAATTTATTTCTATTCTAACACTGCCAGGATAGTTTGCCACAACAGACATCAGCAAATCCTAACAGTACATTTTCCACTGTCATTAGGCCAGATCTTGTTAAACTACAAAAATAATGGGGATAAACGGAACATACTCAGGCTGTTATTCAAACAAGTTTAAAATGGAGACCAATGAAGTTACTGATTCTAATGTCATTTCATTCAGCCAGAAAAATTTTAAATGATCCCAAGACTCAGAATAAATTACCTACTACCTAGCTTTTTAGAGCCATGTCGTAAAGAAAAAAATAACTGAAGAACTGATAGTAAACTTCTAAGTGTCATTACCACTGGAATCACTTCTTTGCATGCCTGGTTGTCTCGAAAATTCATTTGTGGGAATTTCCAAAGGCCTAGGATGAAGATGACTTCCTTGAGATGGGTATAAACCTGCTCCGATCAGGTATCTGGAGGCACTGCCAGAGGAAGACCACGCTGAACCAAGTTCAGGACTTAAGGACTTAATCCATCCAGGCTACGTGGCTTTGGGCTGTAAGTGTGCAAGATAGCCAGTGTGTGGCCTCAACTTCTCTGGAACAGGTTTTTTATTTTCCTTTTGACCCTTTCCTGCTCAGTGCCAAGACAATCTCCCATACAGTCCCTGAAGGTGAGCAGGCAGGTTTGTTCTGGTTCACCCTTCCTCCCCCACGGTGTAGCCCTCTGGGGTTCCAGGCTAATGTGGGAGGGTCTCCTATAAGACAATCTACCTTGGGTGAGCCCCAGGTCTTGCCTTTAGTCCCCTTCTCCCTACTACAAAGGTGTGGCATCAGAAGCAATGTGGCTTTGGTTTACCAGGATTGCCCTTACCTCTCTGGATTCTAGCTCTCCCCCAAATACTGGCTTGGCAATTCACTATCATGCTGACTCGTGTGTGTGTGTGTGTGTGTGTGTGCGTGCGCACGCGCGTGTGACTTTTTCCTACATACTTCTTACATACTACTACTAACATTTCCTGTCATTTTTTAGCAGAGAGTTAATGGGAATAATTTGGTGTGTCATTACTGAAAACAGAAGACTCTTTAGACTAAAATCAAGTAAATCACAGGTATCCTGCTTCCTGTTCTCAAATATTATTTTGCTTCCTCAAATTACACAGCTCACAGGATTTACAACGTGAAATGCCTTGCTTTTCTTATATGCCTCTGAAAATGGCAACAGGAGGATAAAATTAGTACAACTGAAATTCCTTACATCTTGGAAAAAGTCTTGTATTTAAAGGAAATTCATTAGGCTTGAGACTAACTAAACCAAATGAGTTTCCCTCGATGTAAATTTCTAATCGACTCTCAACTGCTATCATAAAGTTTCCAACTACCTCAGTTTCCTTCTAGCAGCAAGCAGTCCAAGACTTCTGCTAGTGTGCTGGTTGGTTGCACTCTAGACAGGCATGCACTCATATGAGTATCAGCATTTTAATATATGTAAACATAACATGCACTGCAAAGCAAAGGAGAAATAATGTGTGGGCCTTACAGCAAATTAAAAGCTAAATGAAATATGAGTAAATAACTATGACAAAAGGTAATACCTTATTACATAAAAGAACTCCCACAAATCAATTCAAAACATAACATCTCAACTGAAAATGGTAACAGTAACTGACAAAGAATAATTCACAAAATACTGATTTTCACTGGTAACCCATAAATGGAAATAAAATCAGCTATTAAATTGGTAAAGCTCAATAATGCTCATTATGGGTGAGAAAGATAGGACAAGTAGTTAACGGTAGATACTGTAAACTGGAATAATCTCCACAGAAACCAATTTAACATTACATATCATCTTAATTACAGGAGTGCACCAAGACTTAAAAAACACACAAACATACTTATACACCTGCCTACCTCTCTAGTCTCATTTCACACACTCTCCCTTGTTCTGGCCACTCTGGCCTTCTTTCAGTTCCCTAAAGGAACAAAACTCTTCACGTTGGGGCCTTCGAAGATGCAACTGTGCTTTTCTTTCTGTCTGGAATGCTCTTGTCCACACCCCATGGCCCACCCAACTCCTCTGCCTAGGTAACAGTCATCCACCCTCCAGACCATTTTCTGGGGAGAACCCTTGCTAATCAAGATCAGGTTCTCCTATTATCATCTCTCATCACATTCTTTACTGTTCCTTACTTACACTAACCTAACTTTCAATCACTTGTCCTTTGGAACAGTTATTACTAAAAGCAATTATACATACATGTTTAGTGGTTTGATAGGTCAACCATGTGCCATGAATATAGAGACCATCTGCTCTGGTCCCAAGGCTCAGCATAATGCAGACACATGGCAGGCACTTTAAAAATATTTGTGGGGGGGCGCCTGGGTGGCTCAGTCGGTTAAGCGTCCGACTTCAGCTCAGGTCACGATCTCACGGTCCATGAGTTCGAGCCCCGCGTCGGGCCCTGGGCTGATGGCTCAGAGCCTGGAGCCTGCTTCCGATTCTGTGTCTCTCTCTCTCTCTGCCCCTCCCCCGTTCATGCTCTGTCTCTCTCTGTCTCAAAAATAAATACACATTAAAAAAAAATTTTTTTTTTTAAATAAAAATATTTGTGGAGACAATGAATGAATGGTGCTAGCTGTAGCAACATTTAAGACAGAGCTTCCAACTCCTATGTCAGGATATGGATCCTCTCAGCCTCCGAGAAAGCTGGGAAGAGTCTGGGGCTCCTCGGCTACCAGGTAGGTCCATTTATCTAAGTGAGTCTTACAAACATCATCATTTTCTAAGTGTGATATAATGTGGAAGAGGTTGAATCAATAATCTTCCTTGCTCTAAATTTAGAAACATCTTTCATCAATGCCATCACTTCTAACCACCTACCCATTATCTTGCTTTTGGATATATGTTCAAGTACCCATCTAGGCACGCGCTTCGACTGATCATAAGACAAGGCATGATTAGTGTAACGCCTAGTCTCTGTTCCAGTTAAAGGGACTCCAAATTGTTCCAAGAGAGCCTTTTCTGCACAACCTAAAGATGAAAAGGGGGGTGGGGGGACAAAAACAAACAGTTAGTGATTCTTACTAGGAACAAAACATTGTAAGTCAAGGGAGAGGGGTGAGACTTACCAAGGACTGGCTCAAAAGTCTAATCAACCAGATCCCATTTTGTAATTCATTCTGGAAACATACTTATAGTCCAAAGCATTTGTGTACCAAAGTGAATTTCAAGACCCACTGGCTCAGTTGTGATCGTGTGACATTCGGCATCACCTACTCCTCGTATTGCAAGACATTGCTCGTTTCTCAAGTTAAAATTTACTACAAATGTTTGCTCATCTTGCAGAACATTCGCAGGACAAGTTACTCGCGACCCAAGGTTTTACTGTACTTCCGAGGCAGAGGAGACAGCAGACTTTGCCAGTAATCAGTTGTGTGGTTTTATCAAGGTAAACTGCAGCTATCTCATTAAAAGTTTTTCTTAATGTTTATTTATTTTTGAGAGAGAGAGACAGAGCACGAGCGGGGGAGGGGCAGAGAGAGAGAGGGAGACACAGGATCCGAAGCAGGCGCCAGGCTCTGAGCCATCAGCACGGAGCCCGACGCGGGGCTCGAACCCACGGACCACGAGATCATGACCTGAGCCGAAGTCGGACGCCCAACAGACTGAGCCACCCAGGCGCCCCGTAAATAAAG